GGTGCTGAGGGTTGTTTAAATATGCAATTATGGGTATACAAATGATCCTAACGCTTATCACCTCTCAACTATTTTAACAGAACTTAACATCCTGATTTGGCATTTTGAGAAAATAAATTGCAGGTAACCCCCTCTTCTTTTGGATCTTTTCGCGCTTTTTTAAAGCTGCTGACGAACTGATTTTCCTATTTGGGCCTCAGCTTTAGGCCTAGGCGAATTAGGTGTGTTTGGTCAATAAAAACTCTCTTTATTTCAGCCTAGTTTAGGCGGCCCAGAAGCCCATTAAGGATTCAGAGCCTTATTGAATGGTATTTCTCGTCCATCCACCATATAGAAAACCAAGATTTGGATGAATAGCGGGCACATTCTCATTGTCTACTGTAATTGGAAGGGCAAAATTATAATTTAATAGGAGACATCTTTCTTTTTTGGGTTATTTGCATATACAAATATACCCGTTAAATCATGAGTATTTGCAAAACTATTCTTCAAATCTTAATATTTGCAAAATTATCCCTCAAATCTTCAATTTTCGAAACAAAAAAAAGCCCTAAATCTATCGATAATAGGCCAATTTGCAACTGCAATGTAGACATTAACAATAAAGAAGTCAAATTTATACGATCAAGTCAATAATTTGTTAATTCTAGGGGTATTTTTGTCAAAGTTGATGATTTGAGGGGTACTTTTTGGAGGGTAGTTTTGCAAATACCCATGATTTAAGGCGTATGTATACAAATAACACTTTTTTTTTCTTACTTTCTTTTTTGTTTTTTATAATATTTCATATATCATACGAGTATTTTTCTTTCTTTTCTTACTCTTTTTTTTCTAGATTAATATTCCCTATTATACTCCATGAATATAGGATATGTGCCCATATAATTACATAACCGTTATATTTTAGATTCTAAAAGGAATATAAATTAAAGTTATTAGCTCCTTTTAGCAAAAATAATAATATGTATAGCGAAAAAAGCTAAAGAATGGAAATGTATAAAATGTAATTTTTTGGAAATTATAAGTTTTTTGCATTAGGCACGTACATTTTATTTTGTTAAAAAAAAAAGCATAAAACATATACAAACAATATTAATAGATGCTAAAAAACTTATCTTTGCCTATAGGATAAAAAAAAGTTTCCTTAGGTTTAAGATATCACATTATCATTATAATGGAATCAACGATGCATTTTTTAAATATATAAATTTACTAGAAAAGTTTTTTGCTAGCTTCTTGCATATGCATATGCACTTGCGATAATGCTAGTAGTTCTAGGAAAGTTTATTGCTAGGAGACTATGCTTTTATACTCTAGTTTTATTAAACAATTATCAATTGTTTAATAGATGTTCTAAATAATTTTAAGTTTAGCACTTATTATAATCTCCTGAATTACGCTCCTTCCTATTTTTCACACACGATGAATCATAAATTAATATAACCGAAGAATAAACCATATGTGATGAAAAGTAGTGATCTCTCCTTTGTTTTCTGATAACTAGGAAAATCAAAACTCTTTTTAATCATACCGGGTCCATAATAGCTCGCAGTAAGGATTTGTTTTCGGTTTTTGAAGATGGATTGGGACGTCAAGAACTTATGGAATATGTCACATAAATTCGTATAAAGTCTGGCATGATGTTACGTCGAAAAGAAAAGGCTGGTGGTGGGTTATAGGAGCTAAACACGTACTGTTTATAGAAAAATCACTAATTATTCCTTTATAGTAATAGCAAAATATAAAAATTTATAAAATTGCTTAGAACAAGCCTTAGTCACATCGATCCAGTGAAGGGCTTCAATGTAGTACGCAACACATGCACTCCTAACAGCACCAACTTGTTTTTACATTGAAATGAACAAGCTACTATATATGCTCGAACATCAAACTAGTTCCCACACCCAAATGCACGCACAATCACAAGGAACTCGTACCAAGATGACAACCAAATCTATCAAGAACCCACCTGGCCTGTCCTCTTCAGATTAAGCACATATATAACCATCTTATAATTATCCACATCAAACTTCATTTCGAAGCACCATACATTAATATCCTTACATTTATACATCAAATTAAACAGACACAAAACGCGACCTCAATGTCTTAGCACCAGTTCTCAATCCTCAATCCAGCCGAATTCGCCCTCCGACACTCCTCCACCAGCGCCTTGCGCGCCGAAACCACGCCTTTAGGCACAAGACATCTGTCGATAGCCGAGCAGTCGACCCAATCCTTCAACAACCTCTCCTGCCCCCATATCTCAGGTATCCTAACTTTTCCCGCCATCTCCGCCCTGTGCCGCCTCAGCCTCTCTCTCCCTGTAACATCCCCAGAATTAATCGAGAGATTTTGCTCCTCACGCTCAAGATCTCGATCGGTGGTAATCATAGGAGGAGGAGGACTAGCAGCTGCTCTGCGATCTTGGTTAGACCTCTTTCGCGCTGAATTCTCCTCGAAAATCGGCAGGTTTTGCACAGAGGGCACAACAACTTCATTTGTAGTCGTAGTGGCGGTAGTAGTGATCTCTAGTACTCTCGGTTCAGTGGGCTCAATCTGACTCCCAGAATCCTCCATCCTCGCCTCAGAAACCGAGAGTATCGAGGAATTTGGTTCGTAGCCCTCAAGATCTCGGTCAGTTGCCATTGTAGTAATACGATCGAGTTAGCGATAGAGTCTGATTGAGAGACGATGTTGTTGTTGTTGTTGCAAATTTGGTTGAGCTAGCGCCCTGCAGTCCAAGCTCTTGAGAAGAAAAAGATGAAGAAAAGGGTGAAGGGAGTGGGGGCAATAGAGAACACGTAGGGGTGGTTGAGTTCATATGGTGAGTTCGGAGAGTACGTGTCTACATTGGTGGCGGAGTTTGTGATTCATGGTTTGTGTGGCTGCAGCTTTGGCTTTGTGTTTCGTTCCGAGAGGAGGTTCTTGGTTCGATCTTTTTTGCTTGTGCCCTATTGTTAGCCACAGAGATGAGTCAAGTGACCAGCCACTTGGCATCAAATGTATAGTTGAGGGTCAGCGTCCTAATTTTTCCAATATATCATACTCTCTTTAAAAGCACCGAGTTCGGAAAAATCTTTTAGTAGATAAAAATACCCTTGGAATTTAAATACTAATCCATTAAGTAAGAGTAACTTGATAAATTGATGAATTCTTATTGGATATACATAGTATGAAGATAAGGATATGGTTTAAATTGAAATGTAAACCTGAATGGAAGAGCAACTTAAGTAAATTAGACGGTTTATTAAATACCAAATTTACCCTCTCGCTCTTATATGTGATCAATGATCAGATTGCAAATAATTATTCATGTGCTACATGATTAATAATGCCAAAGTGAGAACAATTATTTACATGTTATATGATTAATAATTACACACAACGTGACGATTTCTCACCAACTAAATTTCAAGTAGTTCACAATACGCTTAGTTAATTAGACGGTTTATTAAATACGAAATTTACCCCCTCGCTCTTATATATGATCAATGATCAAACCGTAAACAATTATTCACATGCTACATGATTAATAATGCAAATCTGCAAACAATTATTCACATGCTATATGATTAATAATTACACACAAAGTGGCTATCTCTCACCGACTAAAATTAAAGTAGTTCAAAGTACTGCATAGTTAGTTTTAAAATTTAATTATACTATTATTATTTAAATAGAACTTTATTTATAATTGTTATTCTCTCACATACAACATCATATACTAATATATAATTGTTATTCTCTCACATACAACATCATATACCAATATATATAAGCAAAGAAATTATAATAATTTCTATAGCATTTTTATCTCCTTCTACAGGCATGTGCCTTTGCTATTAGATTAGATTAGATTATTTTAAAGCAATTAATTATATTGTATATCTGATCTTTTTTCAGATCAAGAAATTACAATAGCTTTCACATTACTTTTATCTCCTTCAATAAGTATGTGTCTTTGTTATTTTTTTTCTTATTAGAATATTAGATTGTTTAAGAATTATGAATTATAAAATCGCAATAATTTTCACAGTACTTCCATCTATTTTCTTCTTATTAGATTAGATTAGATTATTTTAAAGTAATTAATTATATTGTATGTTTGATTTCTTTTCAGATCACAAAGTTTAATTATACTATTATTATTTAAATAGATACTGTTTGTATAAAAGTCAAAGAGAATCTCACACGTTCTTTGATCTCAATGCCAATTATAATACTTATATATGAGTTTTGGTTAAAATAAATTTTATGTATAGGATTAACTTATATCATCCTACTTTAATCGGATTAGATAATTTAACATTTGTTCTTTACACCCAAACTCTTCCACAAAACCAAGAGATTTTCAAAATTAATCTTAGGGGTTGCTTGCATTAAAAATTTATGTTAGAGGACTCATACAGTTTGTTTTATAGTTTAAGATTATCAACGTATTTTGTCTCTTATGCATATCAATTATGAGTAATAATATAATTTAATTGATCTAAGTGTATCATAATATATTTCTGGACTCTTATCTTGTCTTTTGCTCTTTATTATGTGCAAACCTAGCGATTCTTAATCAATTCCTTCTTTTTTTTCTTTTTTGTCTCTTGACATTGTCTTTTGTTCTTCATTATGTACAAACACATTTCATGATTAGGGTTAGGGTTTTTGAGGGGGGAGCAGAAGACAAATAGGTTAATTTTGGTGTTAGACTTTATTATTTGAAGAGATTAATTTTAAGAAATTCAACTCCAACCTGATATCACAATTGATATAGATGATCAAGACGCTACTCTAGAATTGACCAATAAAAAGATAAAGGTGGAGAAAGATTTATCTCGGCTCAATTAAAACATAAAATAAAAAGAATAAATGATAATATTTTTTGAACATTTTATACTATAACTTCATTTTCGAGTAAAATTAAGAATTTTTAGAATGAATTTTCATGAAAAATTTTAGTATTTTTGTATGCTTATGTGATTTCTTTTATCACATAAAATTATACTGTAGTTACCATTAATCTTTAGTTTTGTCTTTTTATTATTTTAAGTATATCAAATAATATAGGCTGAGATATCATATATATATATATATATATAATGTTGAAAAGTGCAGTGTAATTTTATTTTCAATGTAATAAGAAATGTTATTTTTTTATTGCTAGAACTATAGTTCATAATGATATTGTTATTCATTCTTGACTTCATACTATAGCTTAGGATTAGTAGAGTTTAGAACATGACATGTAGTATCAATTTAATTTATTTTCTTTTACTATTCTGCTTGAAGATATTATTATGTCAGCTGATATCTTTTTCTGTGAAAATCAATTATGATATCCTAGTTAAGTACATTGATCTCAGTTTAGCACAAAAATCCATTACATTAAATTTTTATAATGTTTAAATAAAAATTATGGCAAATCTAATAATTAAAATGAATCTGACTTATTTATAGTAATAAAATAGAAAATAAATTATTTTGATATTAAACCACGTGCAATACAAGTGCATAAAAAGTAGTAATGCTATAAAAGCATATACATGGGATGCACAAAGGGTGAACGAATCACATAGGTCGACAATTAAGTAGTATTTTATTATAGGGTTATTTGCATATATACCCCTTACATCCTGGGTATTTGTGTAAATGCCCTTCAAATCTCGGTATTCGCAAAACTACCCCTCAAACAATCAATTTTTGGGAAAAAAATTACCCTTAAAGCAATTAATCATTAACTACATATTCAGAAAATGAGAAAAATGGGTATCATATTTTATTACTCAAGGATGCTCAATACTCAATTAAAGTACGTCCAAGATCAGTCCAATACGTATGTAGCTAGTAAATGAGAAATAAATATTCTTGATACCGGAAACAAACTTGGTCACTGCCAGCGACGCGGCCTCTTTCTGTCCACACGTTTAGAAATAGGAGGATACTGGCTGTAGACTATCATCTCATTCACAGAACGAAGCATGCAGAGATCGAACAATTGGGATCGACTTAATATGATGTGAAAAGTAATGCGAACCTGATCACCATTATACTAATTATATCTTGTGGCTGTTCATTTAACCAAAATGAGTTAGTTAACTCATTTCATAACCATTACTCCTAAACTAGATATGAATTGTATTCATTGTCAAATATTGAGTATAATTCATAAGAATGTCCTCTCTCACACACAAGACTCGGTGGATCACTCACATGTGGTGCTTACTCCAGCATTTAAAGCATCATGTTGACTCCTTAGGTTGGATGATTTCAACCATCGATAGCCATGCATCGCCTCCACAACACGCCTTTGGAATTATTGGAGTTTGTTTGTAGGCACCAATAACCAACGTGCTCTCTTCCATTTGAGAATTTCTTTTCTCAATTTATTTACAAAACCCTTCAAAGTTTCATCAAGAACTCGGAGGAAAGAAATGCAAAGAGAAACAAAGGCAGTTGTATTAACTTTGACAGAATAATACACCATACAAACGTGAGGAAGATGCATACAAAAACAACAAAGGGAGCCAGAAAAATTAGGAACGGCGAACAGACAGAGAATATGCAAACACACTACACTGCTCCGAAGAAACAAAATGGAAACTCCAAACAGCAAACCATACTGGCCTTGTAACTTTCTCTTTATTGAGATTAAAACCAGCAGTGCATTTTTTTTAAAGACCAGAATATTATCTCTTTAAGGGCGTGCATGCTAAGAAATACAAGGCATTAGTTACATACTGGGAAGTTAATCAGATGACTGAGGAGCATCGACTGAGGACAAACTCTGAAGATTCAAATCTTTCAAGCTCTTGGAAAACGTGATTGCCCTTTCCTTCTTAAAAACTCAGGGATCTCCACTGCACTTCCTTCTTATCTCCATGACTAGGCTGTACTCCCTTCATTTTCCCACATAAGACCAATATATCATAAATGAGAAATTAAAACCAAAGGCAAATATATTACTCTTACAATTTAATCAACGAGCTACCTGCAAAGACCGGCCTTCTGTTTCTTCCTGGCGCTTGAAACCAGTAGCAATCAAAGTTATGCTCACCTGCATATGAAAAATCATGAAAAAATTAGGGGAATAAAAGTGAGTCAACCTCAAGTTGTAGTCTCATCAGACAAATGAACAATTTTTTTTCAGAAGTAATATAACATTTAGGAGGGGTTGAACCAGTTCTGCATTTGCATGAACAATGTTATTGGTGGAGACAGTTTTAGATGAAAGGCCAAAAGTTTCAAGTTTATGATGTTTGAAGGATGAGCAGTACGAACTTTGAAACTAGTGAGTTTCAATCATTTAACCTTCATTTAAGGATAAGTTTCAATCAGCTTACTTGGCCACTTAGTGACTGGTCTATGACTGCTCCAAATATTAAATTTGCACTTGGATCAACAAGATCGTAAATCACTTCCGCTGCAGCATTTACCTGCAGGTCCACAAGCAAGTTAAGACCAATTTGAAAACAAGTCCTATATAAATGAATCACTAGAGTGACTTCAATTTATACTTGATTAATGAAATCCAAGCACATAAAACAACAAACCAGCATAACCTTAAGAAATTGTTTCTTTATGACATGGAAGAATTTTTCTTTAATTCTATTTTGCATTACAAATCTTCACTCGATAAGAACTCAAATTATGCATAGATAAACTCAAAATTTCCTCCTCTTATAACTGTTTTGGTGAGTGTCTGAGTGATAGTCCTATCCTTCCAAAACATGTACCAATGAGATTTTCTCCATGTTTAGGCTTTTAGTTATGAACTATTATATCATCCTCAGAAAATCCCAAAACAAAGAAGAACTTGAATAATGCATAGATAAAGTCAAGATTTCCTCTTCTTATAAATGTTTTGGTGAGTGATAGTCCTATCCTTCCAAAACATGTACTAATAAGATTTCCTCCGTGTTTAGGCTTTTAG